ATTTTCAAATGTACTCTATCCCCTCATCATCTGTTCACGCATGTTTATTGAACCTTGTGCTGACGTTTCTTTCATATTTCCAATCAGTTTGTGATTGCGCTGTGATCATCTACAGCAAGATGAAGCATGATGACCATTTCCTCCGACACAAGTCCAGCACGAAAACAGAAGTCAGCAACTACAGGCCGATCAATATCACACATATTGAATCCAGAATTATGGAGAGACTAGTTAAAGATAACTTAATCAAACATAGGCTTAGCCGCAATATTATCTGTCCGAACCAAGATGGAGTCCTGAAATCCTCATCATGTTTAACACACCACCTAGACTTCCTTGATTTTGTGACCGACAGGCGTGACAGACGACAACTAGTACCAGCCATTTACTTTGACATTTCTCAGGCATTTGACCATTTCAACCATTTACTACTAATACATTAGCTGAACTCCTTAGGAATACGTGATCCACTATTAGGACGGCTTAAGTCATTCCTTAACAACAGGTCCCAAATAGTTAAACTGTGTTATGTAACTTCCAAACTTAGCCCTATCACTTCTGGTGTAGTACAAGGTAGTGACATTGAGACTCTACTATTCACACCATACATCAACGACATGTGCGCTTGCTTCTCAAATGGGAAACCATTCATCTTTGCAGATGACCTAAAAGTAGCTTATACATTATACTGTGATGACCCAGGGTACCTCGAGAATATTGTGCGGAAAGAATCAGAGAAGATGATTGCTTGGTCGTCTTTATGAAATCTACAATTTAACCTGAACAAATGTGGTTGGATTTGCACAGGCACACCCTCAATCGACATGAAATTAACGCTTCCATCTGCTAACCTAACCAGACTCCAAAGTGTCGTTGACCTAGGCTTGAGGTACTCTAGTGACTTGACATTCTCTGAGCAAATGGCGTCACAGACTCGAAAGTCAATAATACTCGTAGAATGCATACTCAGGATCTTTCACGACAATGGAGCCAAGCTAATTCTGTACAAAATATGTGTAAGGTCATTGCTAGAATACTGTTCACCATATTATGTAAAGAAAACATTATACTCAATATTTTTAAACATGTTAGAATTTCCATACCACATTGACAATACTATGTGGCACAAGCCAACGGCAATTTTCACTTGTATTCTTATTATTATTACCCTAGCTGTTATCATTATTATTGCTATTTCCATTTTATATGCTGCATGTTTTTGACACTACCTCTATTGTAAATGTGAAAAATTTTCTGTGATTAATTGTATTTATAATTTGAGGAAATGAGATGCAATATTGTGATTAATGCTGAAAATTCCATTCTGTATCACAAGTACTGTTTTTGGAATAAAGTAAATTATTATTATTATTATGTAGATTTTCATATAAACCTATAAACTTACATGAAAATGCATGCCACTTTTACAGGCACGATCAAGTATGATATAATCTCATATCGTAGGTAGTCTACAAGTTAATAATGTTTCAACAGTTAAATATTTGATATATATATATATAAGCTGTTTTAGAGGGAGGGTGGCGTTAGCTGATCAGTAGATATGGTGGGTGTCACTAAGGTGAATCGCCCCATTCTGCAGGAACAGCAATATACAAATTAAAGGCTCGAGATATTTCTGATTTTTATTAGGGCTTAGATCTTTATCTTGAAAAAGATAATAATGAACGCCTAAGCAGATCATGCTTCTACCTTTAAATATATACCATTCGCTCAGCCTATCGTTGAGATGAGACCATGTGGGCTCTGCACAGATTTATGGGGCATCTTATAAACTAACTTGCTGTCCATTATCGGATCTTTACATACCACTTCACAATGTCTTGTCAGATTCATTTTCTAATAACGTCTTTACTTAATCCTCATTGTATCCCATTAAACCTAACATTTTATAGCTCTTTATGAATTTGATTCGACTTATTCTATTCCTATTCTCTGTGAGGTACGGTTGTGCACCAAATGCACAGAAAAGCATAAAATAAAAAAACAGACATAAGGAAAAAATGTATTAAAACCAAAAGTGGACATCATGATAGTACGAGATATACGCGTAGCATTATACATTGCAAATGAACGTTGTCAATATATCCAATATATCCAATATCCTGATGACGAGCTAGTATAAACCAGTGATTTCTTTGAGCTCGCTTCTTGATTGTGAGGTAGAGGTTCCAGATCTTCGGTGAGCTTCTGCGTAGTAAGTCCCGACACTCGACTGCTTTAGCTCTGGTAGACTCCAGGAGGAGTGGTGCGGGGATTGGTCGAGATGTGGTTTGTAGTATGCAGTATGTTAGGACTGTATTGCTGCCGTGAATGGAGTTTGACCTAACTCCCCTTGGTCATTCGGTGTAGTCATAAAAGCAGAATAGTAATAATAATAATAATAGGTTGTAGTGTAGATAATATAGGTTGAGATAAGTGGAATAATAAAGGTGACATAAGGAAAAGATAGAGTGAGAGAAGGCAGAATAGGTCGTGGGGATTTAGTTAGTACGCTTATTCATTGACAGTTTGGTTTCAAATTTTATGAGGATAAGCCATTGAGACACAAACCTTGCATTTCTGCATGATTGTCTAGCTTCCGCTTAAAAATCTCCACAGATGGCGCTGTAGTCACGGCCGCCGGTAAAGCGTTCCAGAGACGGCAAACACGAAGCGAAAAGAAATGTGATCGCACTCGAGTCTTTGGTCTCTGGTGTGCTATCCTTAGCGGGTTACCTCGTGGAAGCCTATAATCGCTTAATGGCAGGATGCTTTTATTTGGGTGGGCCTGGTCATTTAGGATCTTGTAGACGGTGATGAGGTCTCCCCTGTGCCTACGGTAACTGAGTGTGAAAAGACCTAATTTCTTTAGTCTTTCCTCATATGATTTGTTGCGGAGGCCGATCACCCATTTTGTCGCTCGTCTCTGGACACTTTCTAGAATGTTAGCATCCCTTTTGAGTAGCGGAGGTGCAATGATATTATGCACCTCAAGGTGTGGCCTCACATATGCCTTGTATAGCCTTAAGAACAGTTCGGGAGTGAGAGCTCCCAGCTGCCTGTGCATAAAGTGTAATGTTGCGTAGGCTTTGGCGACGTCCCTCGAGTAATTTCCACTGGTGTCTAGCTTTTCTGTTAGAATAAGACCTAGATCACGCTCTGATGGAACACAACTCAAGTTCTGGCCACCAAGGGTGTAATTTACACTCTGTGACCTGCCGGAATGAAGCTGCACTACTTTGCACTTCTTTAGATTGAAAGGCATTCCGTTAGCCAAAGCCCAATTTCCCAGAGTTTGCAGGTCAGCCTGCAATCTATCTGAGTCTTCCGATGAGTTTATTGCTCTCCAAATCTTTACGTCGTCAGCGTAAAGAAGCGCAGAGCAGTTTAGTTGGGGGGGCAGGTCATTGATAAAAATCAAAAACATCAACGGCCCTAGGATAGAACCCTGAGGAACCCCTGATGCCGAGGTGTGCCAAGATGATCGGATGCGGTTGACTTTGGTGCAGAATTCTCTCTCGCCTAAGTAATCTGTCAGCCATGCGAGAAGTGCTCCAGAAACTCCCGCCTTGCCTATTTTGTGAAGGAGCAGACCATGGTGAACTGTGTCGAATGCTTTCGCAAAGTCGAGAAAGATCACGTGGGCTGGTACCTTTTTGTCCCAGGATAGTGTCCAATCGTTCCAGGCTAGTAGAAGATTCGTCACGCAGGATCTTCCCCTCCTGAAACCGTGCTGTGCTTCGTGAAGAAGGTTAGTCCCATCGAAGTATTTTCTCATGTGGTCGTCAATGAGACTTTCCAATATCTTCGATACCACTGGAAGTAGAGCAACTGGTCTGTAACTGGTCACATTCTGCCGGTCACCACCCTTGAAGATAGGGGATAGGATTGCACGTTTCCATTCACATGGAAGTTTCCCTACATCAAGGGAGTGTTGAAACAGATCACTTAGGGGTTGACAGAGACTTTCTGAACACTGCTTCAGGACAGATGGTCTGATGCCATCACAACCTGGAGACTTTCCCGAAGCCAACCTTCCCAATTTTGCAAGTACCATAGCCGGGGTAATTTGAAATGTCCCCAGCAGGTTTTCGTGTGTTGGTTCTGCGATGTAATCTGGATGTTCTGTAGGGGTAATATCCTCGTTACTATTTAGTTGCCTGTGAAAGGCTAGGCTGAATGTCTCTGCCATTTCAAGACTAGTAAGAGATTTCCCATCAGAACCCACTAGATTGCATGCTCCCTGGTTGGTCGGTTTTCTTTCGGCCATAAACCTGTATAGGCTTTTGGGGTTCACGAGAAGCTTATTGGCGAGGTCTCCCTGAAATGTCCTTCTATCGCTCCGGACTCGTATGTTACATCGATTCCTGAGTTCAAGGTACACTTCATATTCGGGTTGACTCTTCGATCGTCGCCACGCGAACCAGGCTTTACGCTTTGCCTGCAGAAGGCGTTGTGTCCCTCTTTTCAGCCATGATCGTTGCTTCCTAGCTTTTGGTGAGACTAAAGGAACAGTGTCTGAGACCGCCTGGTGAATGATCTCCTTTACCACTCTCCAGTGTTCTTCTACTGTTAGCTCTGTCCATTTTTTAGGCCAGTTTGCTTCAGACAGAAGTCTTCGCATTTTGGTAAAGTTGGCTTTGTTATAACACAGATAGGGCTGTGTATTGTCCCACTGTAAGCGCTCGCGGAGGACTATGTCGAATACTATGACCGCGTGGTCACTACTACCTATGGGAGTCGTGATCTGAACGTTTTCCACTAGTAGCTGGTCACTAGTGAGCACGTAATCCAGTCTAGAAGACTTCCCATCAGGGCCCCATCTAGTATCCATCTTGACATTTTCAGTGAATCCAGCCTTCCTGATGGTATGCAGCAGATTTCGATCAAATCTATCATGGGCTTTTCCCGACACCAAGTTAAGAGATGGGGCATTGAAGTCACCAGCTATGACAATTTGATCATAACCCATGTCTTGAGTCGCTGAAATTGTATTTAGCAGTACCTGGTTATGGTCTGCTCCACATGAAGGTGATCGATAAATGCTGCCCACTAGATATTTGCAGTACCCAACGGTGAAGTGGCACCATATGGAGTCAGGGAGCTCTGTGAGGGGAGGGTCCGTCGCGTGAACACATCTGAGCTGTTTGTCGACGTATATGGCGACTCCACCTCCTTCTTTCAGGTCCCTATCTCGCCTGACTAGGACCATATCATTTATACTGACTTCGCTGTCTGCCACCGTAGGGGTTAGCCAGGTTTCCGTCAGTATTATGATTTTGGAGTTTAGTTGTGATTGTAGGTGTCTAAGTTCAGCTATTTTGCCTCTTAGCCCTCTCACATTACTATACAGGCAACTGGTAGTCAGTCTCACCACTTCCCCGTATTGGGGGGTAGTTGACTTGATATTGGCTATCGGTTGAGGAGTTATCCTACGAACTAGTTGGCCGATTCCCCAGGAACCGGCCTGTTGGCGTTTTTTTCTTCTAGTTCAGTTGGAGCACTCGGATGACACTGGCTATCATCGTCCGTGCTGCACCGCTGTAGTGTGACTAGGGGTTGAGGATTTTCTTTTACTACGCTTTGTTCTCTCCTTTGAGTGCGAGGCCGGCTCTCGCAGCAGCGAATGTGTTTGCTGACCTTGTCCTTGGTCTCGTACCATCTATGGAGAGCGGTAGTCAACTGGTCTTGGGAGCTGAACTTGACAGCTAACAGACGTGGCGAGTTAATTGACATAAGATGAGTGGGTCGAGGCAGTCTATAAATAGAGACAGCCCCTGAACTTCCCAGGGCCATCTGGGATGCTAACCATCTCCATTGTTGTACATCATGACAATGCTTTTCGCAGGCGTTCCCAGTTACCAGTTCGGGAATGCCATGCACAACCATGGAGGCAGAAGGAATGAGCTCTGGCGACTCCCTCGCCATTTGTCTTTCCTTCCACGGCCTGTCTGGCTTAACACGTATGTTACAGGCCCTCCCTATAGAAAGGACTTGAGAAGCCAGTAACACTTTTTCAACATCCTCGGTAGAGCTCAATGTTACCCTCAGTGGGGATGGTTTGCCTTCAGGTGCAGCAGTGCCCCTATACAATCTGCATAGATTTACTGGTTGGATGTCCAAACCCAGTGTGCTACACAAGATGGACCACTGTTCCTGATCAAATAGGGCCCTATCTTTCAGCAGACTACTGCTACAGTCTGGTACATTAAAGAGGATTACACAATTTGATCTGCTAACCGTGGGCTTGGGCTCGGTCCTCGCACGTTTGTGATCACCTTTAAGACCGTTTTGGTTTGACTGGTGCGACTGGGTATTTTTATGTGTCTCAGTGCTATAGCCAGCATTACTGGTAGACGGTTGGGGTCTTTTTCCAACGACGGAAACCCGTGGTTCTCCAGCCTCTGTGTCTGGAGCGGTTATGGCAAGAGTTACAAGTTTAACCGGTGAGGATTTTGGTATCCCCGGTTTACGCGCGTTTGTACTAACTTCCGGATTGGTGGGGGTCGAGCTTTTCACCTTTTTCCCCGCTACTTCTGTGCCACCTTTAGTTTTCAAAGGACTACGCGAGGCTACATCAGGACGGCAACTCGGGCATATGTACCAGAACCATTGGCATGGGTTTTTACGCATAAAGTCATAATATGCTTTTGGTACCCCACTGTCGCATCTGCAATGCACCCATCGGTTGCAAAAGTTACATTCGAAGGCAGAGTCTGCTTGTTCGACAACAGAAGCACAGACCTTGCAGTCGTCTGTCTTCTTGGGGAGCGTTCTTGTCGTCTTGCGACGTCGTGAACGTTTCTTTTTGGCCTTCCTATTTGTTTCATGGTCTACCATGGGGATGGGTGTTATGAAGTTCTCACTTAGTGCAATTTTCCCACTCGGATCTGTTAACCTAGTCGTGTTAACAGGGGTGGAGCCACATCCACTTGGCTGACTTTGCACAGCTTCACTGTAGGACTGTGGCGACATGGGTAATCTGTACGAGCTGGGAATATTAGCCCTGGTCTTCAGGACCGGTATGCGTGAGTCCATCACCTTCTCCTGTTTGCCTAGTTTGGCTGAAGCCCTGGTAACTACAGAGTATGATGTCCCATTACTTATTTTAGGTTGAGAATCTATTGTCATTTTACTCCTAAATTAATACTGGTGATTAAATAATAAGAGACTGTTATTTTGTCCAATAGACTTACAGCAAAAGACAATAGAGAGCGCAGAAAAGAAGGATAAAGTATGTAAGTAAAAGCTTTAGACTTTACCTGTAACTTTCGGGTTATTCGGTTTCACAGCAATCACGTAACAGACCCACAAGTCCTGTATATTTGAAAGAGTGAGGAGGGTGTTGCTACAGAAGTAGCACCTGAAGCTTTGGCAGTAGTTCGAGACAGCGGGAAGTACCACACACAGGCTCGGTGAGGAAGAAATGGTTGAATAAAAATTCGCCGGATAGGAAGATCAGGTTTCCCAAACGAATAATTCACAAAATTGGATATTTCCGGTTAGGGAGGAAAAGCACGTCTTATTCAAGGAGCGCGCGGTGATTCAATTCAGCCTAGGGAGTTTTCTATATTAATGCATTTATTAGTGATACTTGCACTTACCCATTTCATTACACTTTATTGATTCACCTTAGCACTTTTACTTTTCTAAAAACAGCTTTCAATCCGTTGTAAACGTTGTACTTACCTCAATATTGGTTGGTTATCGTATGCCGACAACCACGGGATGAAAACGAAACAAAGTCGATTTTCCCGCTCAACCTGGAGGACAATTGTACAATTCAATAACTATACAGCCTAGTTCAGACAATGTGTATTTATATATATATCAAATATTTAACTGTTGAAACATTATTAACTTGTAGACAATCTACGATTTGATATAATATCATACTTGATCGTGCCTGTAAACATGGCATGCATTTTCATGTAAATTTATGTTTATATGAGAATATATATTATTATTATTAAAAGTAAAAGTGCTAAGGTGAATCAATAAAGTTTAATGGAATAAGTAGGTGCAACGTATCATTAATAAATGCACTTATAAGGGAAATACTATGGGAAACTAATGAATCCCTAGGCTGACAACGTTCATTTGCAATGTATAATATTACCCATATAGTTCGTACTATCATGATGTCCACTTTTAGCTTTAATACAATTATTCTCAATCCATTTGTTTTTATTTCATGCCTTCTTGTCTATTTGATGCACAAACGTACCCTACAGAGAACGGGAATAGAATAAGTCGAATCGAATTCAGAAGGAGCTATAAAGTGTTAGGTTTAATGGAATATAATGAGGATCGAGTAAAGACGTTATTAGAAAATGAATGAGAGGAAGCGGAGTGCATCGGCAGCACACGTGACAAGCTAAGAATGGAAAGTACCCAACGATATTTCACCTCCAAACTACTTGTGCACCACCGTAACAAAGACTACATCTCACGGTGCGTAATGAAAAAACTTGACTTATCTTAGCTGCTTAGCGGCAATATTATATATATATATATATAATAAATATAAACAGTATCTGTGAACGCTTTAGTGTTGGTAAACCAATACTATATGCAGATGACTTAAAAGTGACCTATAAATGCAAGAACACAGATCTCGGAATAACAGTAAGCGCCATACAGCGGGGATTAGAAAAAATGGATAGATGGTGTGACACCCGGTAACTCCGGTTTAATGTCGAAAAATGTGGCTGGCTCTACATAGGCTGCAACAATTTAGAACTTGACCTGACAATTCAAGGCCATGCACTCTTACGACTGGGATCTGTACTGGACCCAGACTGAAATACTCACATGACGTATCATTTTCTGAACATATCTCCAAACAAGTGTCAAAGTCACACGGACTTATCGGCTTTCTACTCAGGAACTTCTACAGAAATGAGTCCAGAATTCTGTTGTACAAGGTTTGTGTGCGTCTTTTATTTAATTACTGTTCATTCATGTATAGTAGTATACGCATAGAGGACAAATTGAAAGTCGAGGGAGTGCAGAGGTACTTCACCTCGAAATTACTCGGAACCGAAAATGGTGCGAACTACTCCACTAGATGTGATACCTTAGGACTAGAAACACTATGAATAGAACGCCTGAGACTAAACTTAACACTTTACTATAAGCTTCTAAATCACTTAGTTTTTACGTCTACTAATGGCACTCGACTTTCAGATGACAATGGCTACAAACTAAGACACACTAAGGGTACAGTAGCTATCGAACAATGTAAAACAGCTACCAGGAAAACGTTTTACTTGATTAGGGATGCACAGATATGAAATAAACTACCAATCGAAATGCATCAAGCAAGTACATTGGCCTCCTTCGAAAGGGTGCTTAATGACAAACCACAAGAATTTTCAAACGACAGTAGTTCTGGTTCTTATCTGAGACCCTCCGAAATTATAGGTCCATTTAATGTATAAGCTTAAATACTACAACTGTTGTTTTTTGCCTATATTTATTATTTTAGGTAAAACATTAATGGCTAAGATACGTACCTTCAAACAGACAAGAAATTTCGTTTGTAAAACTTCTACCCAACAGAATAAGTGGACTAAATGGACATAAACCGACAACATGAAAAAGGTATAATTCACCACAACATCATATGGACAGATGTACGCTCGCTGGGCACCATATATACCTCACCAGCTACAACCTACCTTTCCTAAAATAATGTGATGAACTTATATCCATAATATTGCTGAGCAGTTAATATTCTCAACTCCTGTCGGAACAGCTGAAATTCATAAACCTTCCTCACGCTAATAAAATACCCACGAACAGTAGAAACCCATTAATTAATGCGTCTAATGACATTACAGATCAAATGAGATAAACATATCACTGATTTCAAAATAACACATCAATGAACTATAATTCAAGGATTCTGCACACAACAAAGTTATGTATGAAAATTGACTTCAAGCTTTTTTTTCCCAGGCACTTATAACCCATCCACCAAAGACCTGGTTTTTCTGTTAATGCGAAGACAATACTTCTGTAATTCCTGGTGTGTTGCACTCACTGACAATCTAGCGGATTTTTCCAACTATGCACAGAAATGATTGTTTATGAGTGAAAAGGATGTTTTATACTATTAGATTAACATTTATCAAGTGTATGTATAATCTCCAGTGTACATGTAAAACATATCTTGCTATCGCCTCTAAATTGTGACTGAATTATGTG